CCCTGCCTCCCTATCACACTCCCTGCCTGTCTGCTATACTCCCTCCATGCTACACTCCCTGCCTGCCTGTTACATTCCCTCCCTCCCTATTATAGCAAAATGTTTGAATGAATGAGCAGAAGCTTCCTCACTTGTCCAGAGACAAAGCCAGACTGACTTGCGAGCGGCTGGTGGCGGCAGGTTGGCGCGTCCCATATGGCCGATAAGCGAAATAATGACCGATAACAGGAAGCTGAAAAACTGGCCAATAAGCGGAAGAGCCGATAACTGAGGGTTCATTGTATATACATACCCCTTTGGGTTTTCTTCTATTTTCTTAGTAGTTCTTGTTCTTGTTTATTTCTGCTCCATGGGAAAGTGAAACGGAATTCTTCCTCTGTAAGCTATGCGTGTCGTAAGAGGTTACTAAAATGCCAGGAGCAAGGGGCTAAAAAGAGAGAACATAAGAACATAAGAACATAAGAAAGGAGGAACACTGCAGCAGGCCTGTTGGCCCATACTAGGCAGGTCCTTTACAATTCATCCCACTAACAAACATTTGACCTACCCAATTTTCAATGCTACCCAAGAAATAAGCTCTAATGTGAAAGTCCCACTCAAATCCAACCCATCCCACTCATGTATTTATCCAACCTAAATTTGAAACTACCCAAAGTCCTAGCCTCAATAACCCAACTAGGTAGACTGTTCCACTCATCTACTACCCTATTTCCAAACCAATACTTTCCTATGTCCTTTCTAAATCTAAACTTATCTAATTTAAATCCATTACTGCAGGTTCTCTCTTGGAGAGATATTCTCAAGACCTTGTTAATATCCCCTTTATTAATACCTATCTTCCACTTATATACTTCGATCAGGTCTCCCCTCATTCTTCGTCTAACAAGTGAATGTAACTTAAGAGTCTTCAATCTTTCTTCATAAGGAAGATTTCTAATGCTATGTATTAATTTAGTCATCCTACGCTGAATATTTTCTAACGAATTTATGTCCATTCTGTAATATGGAGACCAGAATTGAACTGCATAATCTAGGTGAGGCCTTACTAATGATGTATAAAGCTGCAGTATGACCTCTGGACTTCTGTTGCTTACACTTCTTGATATAAATCCCAGTAATCTATTTGCCTTATTACGTACGCTTAGGCATTGCTGTCTTGGTTTAAGGTTGCTGCTTACCATAACCCCCAAGTCCTTTTCGCAATCTGTATGGTTAAGTTCTACATTATTTAACTTATAAGTGCTAGGGTTATGGACACTCCCGAGCTTCAGAACCTTGCATTTATCTACATTGAACTGCATCTGCCACTTTTCTGACCAAGAGTAGAGTTTGTCTAAATCCTCCTGAAGTTCCCTAACATCTACATTTGAATCAATTATCCTACCTATCTTCGTGTCATCGGCGAATTTGCTCATATCACTAGTAATTCCTTCATCAAGATCATTGATATATATTATAAACAACAACGGGCCCAAGACTGATCCCTGTGGAACGCCACTTGTTACTGATCCCCACTCGGATTTACCCCATTTATGGACACTCTCTGCTTCCTGTCTGTGAGCCATGATTCGATCCACGAGAGCACCCTTTCCCCAATGCCATGAGCTGCCACTTTCTTCAACAGTCTTTGGTGCGGAACTCTATCAAATGCCTTACTAAAATCTAAGTAAATAATATCAAATTCTTTATCGTGGTCAACAGCCTCAAAAGCTTTACTGAAGAAAGTTAATAAATTAGTTAGACAAGACCGGCCTCTTGTGAATCCATGCTGAGTATCATTAATCAAGCTATGCTTATCGAGATGGCTTCTTATAATCTCAGCTATAATTGACTCTAGTAATTTGCCTACAATTGAGGTCAGGCTTATTGGGCGGTAATTTGACGGTAACGACTTGTCCCCTGTTTTAAAAATAGGAATTACATTAGCCATCTTCCACATATCAGACACTGCACCTGTTTGAAGAGATAAATTAAAAATATTAGTTAATGGTTCACAGACTTCCATTTTGCATTCCTTTAGAACCCTTGAAAAACCTCATCAGGACCCGGTGACTTATTTTGCTTCAGTCTGTCTATCTGCTTCACAACCATTTCACTAGTGACTGTGATGTTACATAATTTATCTTCTTCTGATCCACTATAAAAATTAATTACCGGAATATTATTAGTGTCTTCCTGTGTAAAAACCGAGAGAAAATAATTATTTAAAATCGAGCACATTTCATTCTCTTTGTCAGTAAGATGCCCATAGTTATTTTTAAGGGGACCTATCTTATCTCTGACTTTTGTTCTATAGACCTGGAAAAAACTTTTTGGGTTAGTTTTAGAATCCCTAGCAACTTTAATTTCATAGTCCCTTTTAGCTTTTCTTATCCCCTTTTTAATGTCCCTCTTAATGTCAATATACTGATTCATAAGATGACCCTCGCCTCTTTTGATACTCCTATAAATTCCTTTCTTATGCCCTAGTAGATATTTCAGCCTATTATTCATCCATTTTGGGTCATTTCTATTTGATCTAATTTCCTTATAAGGGATAAACGTTCTTTGAGCAGCATGTATTGTGTTCAGAAAACTGTCATATTGATAGCTCTCTTCGTTACCCCAGTCAACAGATGATAAGTGTTCTCTAAGCCCATCGTAATCTGCTAAGCGAAAATCTGGGACTGTTACTGAGTTATCCCTACTATCATACTTCCATTCAATTCTACATGTAATTGATTTGTGGTCGCTGGCACCCAGTTCCTCTGAAACTTCTAAATTATTAACAAGGGATTCATTGTTTGCCAGAACTAAGTCAAGCAGGTTATTACCCTTGTAGGTTCTGTCACAAACTGCTTCAAAAAACAATCCTGAACTACTTCTAAGAAATCGTATGATTCTAAATTCCCAGTTAAGAAATTCCAATCAATATGACTAAAGTTAAAGTCTCCTAGAATTACTACATTATCGTGCCTTGTGGCCCTAACAATTTCCTCCCATAGTAGTCTCCCCTGGTCCCTATCTAAATTTGGGGGACGGTATATCACACCTAAAATTAATTTTTCATGCCCCTCTGAAAATTCTATCCAAACAGACTCTGTATGTGTTACTTCAGACTTAATACCTGTTTTTATGCAACAGTTCAAGCGATCTCGGACATACAATGCCACCCCACCCCCCTTCCCGATACTTCTATCTACTTGGAACAATTTAAAACCCTGAATGTGACATTCTGCAGGCATGTCCCGAATTTTTGAATTAAACCACGTCTCAGTAATGGCAAATACATCTATGTTACCTGCACTAGCAACTAGTCTCAACTCGTCCATCTTATTCCTAGCACTGCGACTATTTGTGTAATAAATATTTAATGACCCTCCTATCTCTTTACCCTTCCTGCTCCTTTCTGTTATTCCACTAAACCTATTACTGTCATTGTCAATTAGTGCCACTGGCTTTCCAATATCCTCCTCATTTTGCCTATTACTAGTTCTCCTAGTACTCATGTTACTACCCTGCGACTTCACAGTTTTCCCGCCAAAAAACCCCTACCACTAACTATTCCTAGTTTAAAGACCTAACAGCTCCCTCCACTGCGTTGGCCAGTGCTCCCACCCCACACCTAGACAAGTGAACCCCATCCCTGGCATACATGTCATTTCTGCCATAGAAGAGGTCCCAGTTGTCAATGAATGTTACCGCATTTTCCTTACAGTATTTGTCCAGCCAGCAATTGACACCAATTGCTCTGGACAACCATTCATTTCCAACTCCTCTCTTTGGCAAAATGCCACATATGACAGGTTTGCCACCCTTCTTCCTAATTATCTCTATTGCTGACCTATACCTGCTAATCAGGTCCTCACTCCTACGTCTGCCAACATCGTTGCCTCCAGCACTGAGACAGATAATAGGAGTGCTCCCATTACCTCTCATGATGTCATCCAGACGGCTAACAATATCCTTCATCCCAGCCCCAGGAAAACATACTCTCTGCCTCCTACTCCTATCCTTCAAACAGAATGCCCTATCCATGTACCTAATCTGGCTATCCCCAACAACAACAATGTTTTTACCTTCCTTGGCGTCGTCCGTAGTGATGCTCCGAGTAGTCGACTCACATTCGCCAGGCTTTTGTATTTCTTTTTGGGCCACCCTGCCTCAGTGGGATATGGCCAGTTGGTTGAAATAATAATAATAATAATTATACCTATTCCATACATCAGCAACATCTACCACATGGTTACCCTAGCCATCACATCATTTTTCTTCTTAACACACTGGCTATCTCACACCAAAGCAGGGTAAAGGTATCATATGTCTTCTAAATCCATAAATAAAATAAAGAGCTCTTTGAGGAGGAAAAAACAGAAAAAGGCTCCACTTAGTGCTCAAATAATAAGGCACAAGGCCTAGGCTTTATAAGAAACCATGAGTGTGTGTAGGAGGGAGACCCTTCACATAAGAACATAAGAAAGGAGGAACACTGCAGCAGGCCTGTTGGCCCATACTAGGCAGGTCCTTTACAATTCATCCCACTAACAAGCATTTGACCAACCCAATTTTCAATGCTACCCAAGAAATAAGCTCTGATGTGCAAGTCCCACTCAAATCCAACCCCTCCCACTCATGTACTTATCCAACCTAAATTTGAAACTACCCAAAGTCCTAGCCTCAATAACCCAACTAGGTAGACTGTTCCACTCATCAACTACCCTATTTCCAAACCAATACTTTCCTATGTCCTTTCTAAATCTAAACTTATCTAATTTAATTTAAATCGATTACTGCGGGTTCTCTCTTGGAGAGATATCCTCAAGACCTTGTTAATATCCCCTTTATTAATACCTATCTTCCACTTATACACTTCGATCAGGTCTCCCCTCATTCTTCACATGTTAAGTGCTCTCTGCTAGAAATATTCTATGAAGCAACACAAACTTTGAAATGACAAGAAAAAAATCATGTATGTATTGCAAAAAAAAAAAAAAAAAATGAAAAACTATTAGGAATCTTACTTGTCCATATGTGCCTATTAATATTTCATTCTTGCCATCTTGGTCAATGTCACATACAATGCAGCAAGTGACTACATCACTGTTGTCAGAGTCTGGTAATCGATAACCCTCACACTTACTTACAAAACCACTGGAAAAAAAAATGACACTTAGGTTTCTCTCACATGGATCACATCATCGAAGATTCTTTACACTAAATGTAAAGGTTCAGTCAGATTAAGATTGATTAGCAAAAATTTAACCAATAATAACATTCAATAACACCAATAAATGGAGAAACATTTAAAACTAAGTCTATGATTTGAAGCATGAAAAAAAAAGAGCAAGTTTTCTGCAATGATAAAAATAATGCAAAATACAACATTCACATTATAGTGACAAAGTCACTTTTACCAATATCATTGAGTTAAAGAAAAAAAAACTGATATTTACCTAGCATGATAGGTACCATAAATTTGATGGGTGTTGAACATAATTTTTTTTTTAGCAAAATTATGTAAATGGGAAATGGCAGGACTATAGAGGTGCGTGAAATAATGAGTAATATTTACAAAATATCCTAGGTACTAGGTTGGTAGACAGCAACCACCCAGGGAGGTACTACCATCCTTCCAAGTGAGTGTAAAACAGAAGACTGTAATTGTTTTACATGATGGTAGGATTTCTGGTGTCTTTTTTTTTTTGTCTCAGAAACATGCAAGATTTCATGTACATCTTGCTACTTCTACTTACACTTAGGTCACACTGTACATGCACAGACAAGCATATACATACACATGCCCTCTGGGTTTACTTCTATTTCCTTACTAGTTTTTGTTTTTGTTTATTTCCTTTTATCTCCAAGGGGAAGTGGAACAGAATTCTTCCTCCAGGAGCCATGCGTGTTATAAGAGGTGACTGAAATGCTGGGAGCAAGGAACTAGTAACCTTTTATCCTGTATACATTACTAAAGTTAAAAAAAAAGAAACTTTTGTTTTTCTTTTTGGGCCACCCTGCCTCAGTGGGATATGGTCGGTGTGTTGAAAGAAGAAGAGTGTGATATACGTACACTGTTCTGAAAGCTGTAATGCTTGAAGACTTTCTTGCAGAGAACAGAAAAGTTTGAGGTAAATTCAGACACATGCCATATGATGATCAGTATGTCAAGGAAGTTAAATGTAAACACAGATAAAAATCAAGTGATGGAGGTATCAAACAAGTTAGGTAATGAAAAACTGGATATCAGATTGGGGGGAGGAAGCACGGAGGAATGAGTGTATTCAGATATTTGGGAGTGGGTGTGTCAGCAGATGGGTATATGTAAGACGGGGTGAGCTATGAAGGGAAAAAGGTGAGCAGTGCACCAAGACATCTGTGAAGATGAAGAACATTATCCATAAAGTCAATGAGGGGAATGTATAGTAGTACCAACACTCTTATATGGGTGTGTAGCGTGAGTTGTGAATGTTGCAGCTGGAGGCAGCAGAGATGTCATGTCTGAGGGTAATGTGTGGTGTAAATATTATGCAGAGAATTCATAGCTTGGAGATTAGGAGGTGCAGAGTTACTAAAAGTATTATCCAAAGGGCTGAGGAGAGGTTGTCGAATACAAATAGGAAACGCATCAATCTGGCACTCAGCAAATGAAAGATCAAGCCTTTACCTCATCTTGCACTGAATGACCCACATGGGTTTAGCACATAACATGAATTATTAAAAATTATAAAAAATTGAGGAGGGGTTGTTGAGGTGGTTTGGACATTTAGAGAAGACGGAGCAAAATAGTATGATTTGGATTGTGTATAAATCTGTGGTGGAGGGAAAGCAGGGTAGGGGTCATCCTAGGAAAGGTTAGAGAAAGGGGTTATAGAAACTTTGATATGTGAGGGGCCTGGACGTCCAACAGGTGTGTGACTGTGTTAGATAAGAGTGAGTGGAGGCAAGTTGTTCTGACTTGATGTCAAATGTACTTAAATACTGAGAAATATATGTAGAAGCATACTGCATAATGGTGCCATCTATCTTGTATGATGTGACTGTTATATAAAGTATAAGGAATGCAAGGTTAGGATTGAATATGGAACAGTATATTGTATAATTCATAAAGCAGAGAAAAGGTTGTTGTGATGATTTGTTATGAAGACATATTGTGACAACATTTCAACTCTGTACAGACCTAACTGTTGCCACAACAAAAGCTACTCTACACTTGACTTTCCTTCAGTAATGTTGACATTACACCTTTGTACCCTAAGATGGTCTGCTGATTTAACAAGAGTGAAGCAAGACTCATTAGTAAATTATTAGTATCATATCATTTTTACCATCAAGGGAAAGCACTAAACCTAATGGGTTCCCGCATCCAGGAATGGGAGGGGCAATCAAATTCAATCCAATAAAGGAAGGACAGATACAATTCATGGATCAGAGTCCTCACAGCTTTAAGGCACAAGTAAAAAGGGTGCATTTAAAATTTAGCATTGTTGGGGAGTTGAAACATGTATGAGTGCAGGGGCTGAGACATTCAGCCCCTGGTCTACAAGATTTGACATGTGTTTTTTGCATGTGAGGAAGATAATGGTTTCAAGGTAGGAAGTACAATGCCTGCACTTTAAAGGAGGGGTTTGGGATACTGGCTGTTTGGAGTGACATCTAAACTGTCATATCTGAGTGCCTCTGCAAAGACAATGATTGTGTGAATGATGGTGATTTTTTTTTTTTTTTTGGGGGGGGGGGTTCACCTTGCCTTGGTGGGAGATGGCCAACATGTTAAGAAAAAATGTATGTGTGTGTGTGTGTGTGTACTCACCTAACTGTGGTTGCAGGGGTCAAGACTTAGCTCTTGACCCCTCCTCTTCGCTGATTGCTACTAGGTCCTCTCTCTCCCTGCTTCATGAGCTTTATCATACCTCATCTTAAAGCTATGTATGGGTCCTGCCTCCACTACATCATCTGCTAGACTATTCCACTTCCTGACAACTCTATGACTGAAGAAATAGTTCCTAACATCACTTTGACTAATCTGAGTCTTCAATTTCCAATTGTGACCCCTTGTTTCTGTGTCCCATCTCTGGAACATCCTGTCTCTGTCCACCTTATCTATTCCACACAGTATTTTGTATGTCATTATCATATCTCCCCTAATCCTGTCCTCCAGTGTCGTCAGGCCGATTTCCCTTCACCTTTCTTCGTAGGACATTCCCTTAGCTCTGGAACTAGCCTTGTTGCAAAAATTTGCACTTTCTCTAATTTCTTGACATGCTTGACTAGGTGTGGGTTCCAAACTGGTGCTGCATACTCCAGTATGGGCCTGACATACTCGGTGTACAGTGTCTTGAACGATTCCTTACTAAGGTATCGGAACATTATTCTCAGGTTTGCCAGGCACCCATATGCTGCAGCAGTTATCTGGTTGATGTGTGCTTCCAGAGATGAGCTTGGTGTTATACTCACCCCAAGATCTTTCTTCTTGAGCGAGGTTTGTAGTCTTTGGCCACCTAGCTTATACTCTGTCTGCGGTCTTGTTTGCCTTCCATGATCTTCATGACTTTGCATTTGGTGGGGTTAACTTCGAGTAGCCAGTTGCTGGACCACGTGTCCAGCCTGTCCAGGTCACTTGTAGACCTGCCTGATCCTCACCTGATTTGATTCTTCTCATTAACTTCACATCGTCTGCAAACAGGGACACTTCTGAGTCTATCCCTTCCATCATGTCATTCACATAATATACCAAGAACAGCACTGGTCCTAGGACAGACCCCCTGTGGGACCCCGCTCATCACAGGCACCCACTGTGATACCTCATCACATACCATGCCTCCCTGTCAGGTATTCTCTGATCCAGTGCAGTGCCCTTCCTGTTATACGTGCCTGATCCTCTAGCTTCTGCATTACTCTCCTGTGGGGAACTGTTAAAGGCCTTCTTGCAGTCCAAGAAAATGCAGTCAACCCACTCTTCTTTCTCATGTCTTACTTCTGTTACCTTGTCATAAAACTTCAATAGGTTTGTGACACAGGATTTGCCTTCCATGAATCTGTGCTGGTTGTTTATACTCTTGCTCCGTTCCAGGTGCTCTACCACTCTCCTCCTGATAATCTTCTCCATGACTTTGCATACTATACACATCAGTGACACTGGTCTATAGTTTAGTGCCTTGTTTCTGTCTCCTTTCTTAACCCTTTCAGGGTCGAGAGGCCCTTTCCTAAACTTGTTCTCAGGGTCGAAAATTTTCTGGAAAAAAAAAAAAAATCTTTATGAAATGATAGAGAATCTTTTCCCAATTATAATGACACCAAAAGTATGAAATTTGATGGAAAACTTACAGAATTATGTTCTGGCGAAGTTAGCGGCCTCGACAATGTTTACGCATCGGCAATTTCGCCCAATTCCAGTATACTAGTCAACAAAAATCATAACTATTTCGCTAGAACTCCATTTTTTCTATCGAATGAGTGCAAGAAACCACCCATTTACCAATTTCAACTATCCAATAAAGTGATCAGAAATTGGCAATTTTGCCAATTTCACACAAATTTCAAAAGATACCAATTTCCAAACAGGGTCCAGAATAAACAAGACAAACACTCCTGGCATTAAAATAACATTTCCTCTGTTCATTAGTCATGTCCCCAGGCCCCTCTTACATTTCTTTTGCTTTCCACTTTGAATTTTTATTCTCACAAATAATAGAAGATTTACTGTTATGCAGACTACTGAATTAGTGTAGAAATGGTATAAATAATATCAGCGCACTTGTGAAGAAATATTAGACTCACCAGTTAATGTGTATTGGACGCATCGCATGATTTGTTTACTTTTGAACTTTGGCAAAAATCGAACATTTCTGGTACTTTAAGCTCAATTTCAAGGTACTTTTCATTGTGAAGATTGAGACACTTATGCAGCATATGGGAATCTTTATTCAGGAAACGTTTCGCCACACAGTGGCTTCATCAGTCCAATACAAAGAGGAAGGCGTAAGGAGAGGAGGAGTATGAGGTAATCAGTCCCTCTGCCTGGAGTCGATGTGTTCAGTCCATCAATCTTGTAGAATGTACAGCATAGGGCCGTAGACGTGGCTTATATACTGTAGTGAGGTGAGGTGAAGCAGGTGGAGGCGGGGTCATAGTGGTACCATCCACTAGTCGAAGTAGGTCTTTGTCCAAAGGTTGAACAAGTGTTGAAGAATTCTTTGTAACAAGATCCCATGATGCTGCAGTGTCGGCCCTATGCTGTACATTCTACAAGATTGATGGACTGAACACATCGACTCCAGGCAGAGGGACTGATTACCTCATACTCCTCCTCTCCTTACGCCTTCCTCTTTGTATTGGACTGATGAAGCCACTGTGTGGCGAAACGTTTCCTGAATAAAGATTCCCGTATGCTGCATAAGTGTCTCAATCTTCAACTTGTCGGTTTTTCAAACTATTCATCACAACTGTCAGACACTGCAGCATCATAGGATCTTGTTACAAAGAATTCTTCAACACTTGTTCAACCTTTGGACGAAGACCTACTTCGACTAGTGGATGGTACCACTATGACCCCGCCTCCGCCTGCTTCACCTCACCTCATTACAGTATATAAGCCACGTCTACGGCCCTATGCTGTACATTCTACAAGATTGATGGACTGAACACATCGACTCCAGGCAGAGGGACTGATTACCTCATACTCCTCCTCTCCTTACGCCTTCCTCTTTGTATTGGACTGATGAAGCCACTGTGTGGCGAAACGTTTCCTGAATAAAGATTCCCATATGCTGCATAAGTGTCTCAATCTTCAACTTGTCGGTTTTTCAAACCATTCATCACACACTTTTCATTGTGAAACCAATCAAAATCATCTCAATTTCTGTAATATGTCTTCCATTCTATAAAATGAGACCAGGAAAACTAGAATACAACCATAAATACCATATGAAAATACAGTGAAAAGTCGCTGTTTTAAACCAAAAACACGTTCAAAAATATTTTTTTTCTCATTACACACTGTGTGCTGCAGGATTTTTTTTTATACTGTGCACACTGACGACACAGACCCATTCTTTCATATGTAGGCCTACCAGCTTTCTCTCTCTAGATTTGAAGGCGCTAGAATTTACGCGTACTAGTACGTCAATAACCCTGGTGCGTAAGACGTACTAGTACATCGTAAACCCTGAAAGGGTTAAAAATGGGGACTACATTTGCCGTTTTCCAAACCTCAGGTAGTTACCCAGTTTCAAGGTATGTGTTGAAGATTGTGGTTAGTGGCACACACAGCATCTCTGCTCCTTCTCTAAGGTGTGTACTCACCTATTTGTGGTTGCAGGGGTCGAGTCATAGCTCCTGGCCCCGTCTCTTCGCTGATTGCTACTAGGTCCTCTCTCTCCCTGCTCCATGAGCTTTATCATACCTCGCCTTAAAACTATGTATGGTTCCCGCCTCCACTACTTCACTTTCTAGGCTATTCCACGGCTTGACCACTCTATGACTGAAGAAATACTTCCTAACATCCCTTTGATTCATCTGAGTCTTCAACTTCCAATTGTGACCTCTTGTGTCTGTGTCCCATCTCTGGAACATCCCATCTTTGTGTGTGTGTGTGTGTGTGTGTGTGCATGTGTGTGCGTGTGTGTGCGTATGTGTGTGTGTGTGTGTGCATGTGTGTGCATGTGTGTGTGTATGTGTGCATGTGTATGTGTGCATGTGTGTGTATGCGTGTGTGTGTGCATGTGTGTGCGTGTGTGCACGCGTGTGTGCATGTGTGTGTGTGTGTGTGTGTGTGTGTGCGTGTGTGTGTGCGTGTGTGTGTGTGCGTGTGTGTGCGTGTGCGTGCATGCGTGTGCGTGCATGCATGTGGCTTGAAGAACAGTACTTGCACTATCATAGTGGCATGGGAAGGTTGCAGTTTGATGGGTCAAAACTGGATAGTGATTGTGTGTGTGTGTGTGTGTGTGTGTGTGTCCATCTGGAAAAGTAGCTACACAATGAGTGATGGTGAATATTTTTCCTTTGACTACACCTGAGTGAAGGGAAATAGTTGAATTTAAAAAACTGAGTGAACTACAACAGTATTTACAAAAACACACTTTTGTGTAGTAAACCCCTTATAGTATATTAAATTTTTGATAACAGAGCTAATAATTTTTTTTTTTCAACAAGTATGCCATCTCCCACCAAGGCAGGGTGACCTAAAAAGAAAGAAAATCCCCAAAAAGAAAATACTTTTATCATCATTCAACACTTTCACCTCACTCACACATAATCACTGTTTTTGCAGAGGCGCCCAAATTACAACAGTTTAGAAGTATATACGTATAAAAAATACACAACATATCCCTCCAAACTGCCAATATCCCAAACATCTCCTTTACAGTGCAGGCATTGTACTTCCCATTTCCAGGACTCAAGTCTGGTTATATAAAATACTAACCGGTTTCCCTGAATCCCTTCACTAAATATTACCCTGCTCACACTCCAACAGCTCGTCAGGTCCCAAATACCATTTGTCTCCATTCACTCCTATCTAACACACAAAATTATTTAATTATCCATACCTGTACACAAAACAGGATTCCAAGGCATTCGCTACCACAACATGAGGCTGATCTTCATTATCTGTTTTGGGAGCTCTATTCTGTAACCTGTGGACTAAATGATTTTTTCATATAACACTATACAGTACACAGTACAGTATTAAAACTGAATTTTGGGAAATATAAATTAGTATTATCATGCTTTCTTCTAATACATTTGAATTTACAAGCTAAGACCTGTTATTGTGCCTCAGCTCATTTCAAGGCCCATCTCCATCTACGATATAATGCTAACTCTTCCTGGGATGAAACCCACAACAGTCGACTACCACCCGGGTACTTACTCAGGGGCGGATCTACTATGAAACTAATGAAGCTTAAACTTCAGGGCCCCTACAAGCGACTTTAGTCAACACTGCTTAAAAATTTTGGGCCTACTGTATGAGAAGGGGTTGTACAGGGGCCCCATAACAGTTCAAGCTTCAGGGCCTCAAAAATGTAGGTCTGACACTGTACTTATTGCTAGATGAATAGGGGCAACAGGTGTAAGGAAACATTCCCAATGTTTCTGCCCATACCAGAGATCAAAATACAAGCCCTGAGTATGTGAGCTGAATGCATTACCATTTGAGCCACAGAACATTTGTATATTTATGATATCCGTATATCTCCAAGATAAAATACATTAAAACATTTTACGAAATCTCAAATATCCACCCACTAAGATTTTAAGAATGCTTTACAAAAAAAAAAAAAAAAAAAAAGCTACTCCTGAGAGAGGAATAAAAAGCAGAATCCTATTTTCTGTCTGAAAGGGAAATGCAAACAGTGATGTAAAAAATAAAATGTCTTCATGGAGCAATGTCATCAATGGGGTGCCACAAGGATTTTTACTTGACCTGATTCCCTTTGAGGTTGCTTCCATTTCTTGTGTGTGTTTACACACACTTTTGTTTGTGATATCCCATTTGCTTGATTATTAACTGTTTATCTACCTGTAAGTGTGGCACCTCTGGTTGTGTTATTTCATATTCTAGCAGTACTATTTCATTTGTTTCTTCTCCAAAACCACAATAATGGACCAAGAATCTTCAGTGCTACCATTGGTCACATAATGCCACTGAGTTTACACCACACCAGTTTATTACTATTATGCACCAAGCTGTATCTTTATCAGTTTTGATTGAAAACAGCCACTGTAAAGTTTTAGTACAGTAGTCTCTAAGTTACTGCCTGGCAAGAAGTCAACACTTCTGGTAATGACTATTCAACATCTTACCAGAAGATACCAGAAACACTGCTGGGACGCTGGACAAGTATCTTCACCAGGTGCCAGATAAACCAGGCTGTGATGGATATGTGGAGCAGGAGGCCATAGCAGCAACAGCTTGGTTGACCAGGCAAGCACCAGATGAGCCTGGCCCATGGCTGGGATCCAGGAGTAGAAAAACTCTTGGAACTCATCAAAGGTATACAAAGGTAAAGGAAAGGTATCCAACACTTTTAAGGCTGTGCACATCACACAGAGGAGACTGCAAGTGCAAGGCCAGCAGGATGCATGAAAGACTGGTATATCACCAGCACTCAGGATGGCAGAGCAATGAGAATATCTTTCTCCATGATGAAAGAGATCTGGATATGAGGAAAATACAGGAGGGCTCCACTTGTATGGTTGATTAGGTTCTGGGCTACTGCTATGAAGTGAAAATTGTTTTTCACTTTCAAATGCTTATAAAAGCCTGATAACTCATTTACAACATTATGTATTAAGTGCACAATAAAACTAGACCTAAAAAAATATACAAAATTAAAATAAATATGCAGTACACACATTACTCGAGTGAACCAGGCTAAAAAAATGCCAGAATAGCAGAACAAGCGCCACATAAATAAACAGGGATATAATTAAAAGGTAGTAGGTTGGTAGGCAGCAACCACCCAGGGGGGGGTGCTACCGTCCTGCCAAGTGAGTGTGAAATGAAAGCCTGTAATTGTTTTGCATGATGGTAGGATTGCTGGTGTCTTTTGTCTGTCTCATAAATATGCAAGATTACAGGTACATCTTGCAACTTCTACTTACACTTAGGTCACACTACACATACATGTACATGTTTATTTATACACACTCATCTGAGTTTTCTTTAATTTTATGTTCAAAGTTCTTGGTCTTATTACTTTTCCTTTTATATCCATGGGGAAGTGGAATAAGAATCTTTCCTCCGTAAGCCATGCGTGTTGTAAAAGTCAACTACAATGCCGGGAACAATGGGCTAGTAACCTCTTTTCCTGTAATAATTACTAAAAAAAATAAGAAGAAGAAAATTGTCAAAGTGGGAAGTCTGAATGTGCGTGGATGTTGTGCAAATGACAAGAAAGAGATGATTGTGGATGTTATGAATGAGAAGAAGCTGGATGTCCTGGCTTTAAGTGAAACAAAGCTGAAAGGGGTGGGAGAGTTTCAGTGGAGAGGAATAAATGGGATTAAGTCAGCGGTTTCAAATAGAGTTAGAGCTAAAGAAAGAGAAGCAATAAAGTTGAAGGATAAGTTATGGCAGGAAAAGAGGGACTATAAATGTATTAATTCAAGGATTATGAGGAGTAAAATAAAGTTTGGATGTGAAAAGTAGGATATAGTGAGTGTATATGCACCTGGAGAAGAGAGAAGTGTAGAGGAGAGAGAGAGATTTTGGGAAATGTTGAGTGAATGCGTGGGGAGTTTTGAACCGTGTGAGAGTAATGGTGGTTGGGGATTTCAATGCTAAAGTGGGCAAAAATGTTGTGGAGGGAGTAGTAGGTAAATTTGGGGTGCCAGGGGTAAATGAAAATGGGGAGCCTTTAATTGAGCTATGTGTAGAAAGAGGTTTGGTAATAAGTAATACATATTTTATGAAGAAGAGGATAAATAAATATACAAGGTATGATATAGCATGTAATGAAAGTAGTTTGTTAGATTATGTATTGGTGAATAAAAGGTTGATGGGTAGGCTCCAGGATGTACACGTTTATAGAGAGGCAACTGATATATCAGATCATCATTTAGTTGTAGCTACAGTTAGAGTAGAGGTAGATGGGAAAAGAGGAAAATGGCAACAACAAACAAGAGGGAGGTGAAAGTGTATAAACTAAGGGAGGAGGAAGTTCGGGTGAGATATAAGCAACTATTGGCAGAAAGGTGGGTTGGTGCAAGTATGAGTAGTGGGGGGTTGAAGAGGGTTGGAATAGTTTTAAAAATGCAGTATTAGAATGTGGGGCATAAGTTTGTGGTTATAGGAGGGTGGGTGCAGGAGGAAAGAGGAGTAATTGGTGGAATGATGAAGTAAAGGGTGTGATAAAAGAGAAAAAGTTAGCTTATGAAGGTTTTTACAAAGCAGAAGTGTTATAAGAAGAGTAGAGTATATGGAGAGTAAAAGAAAGGTGAAGAGAGTGTTGAGAGAGTGCAAAAGGAGAGCAGATGATAAAGTGGGAGAGGCACTGTCAAGAAATTTTAATGAAAATAAGAAAAATTTTTGGAGTGAGTTAAACAAGTTAAGAAAGCCTAGAGAACGAATGGATTTGTCAGTTACAGAGTAGGGGAGTTAGTAGATGGGGAGATGGAGGTTTTGGGTAGATGGCGAGAATATTTTGAGGAACTTTTAAATGTCGATGACGAAAGGGAAGCGGTAATTTCATGAACTGGCCAAGGAGGTATACTATGTTTTAAGAGTGAAGAAGAACAGGATGTGAGTGTCGGGGAGGCGCGTAAGGCATTATGTAGAATGAAAGGGGGTAAAGCAGGGGGGGACATAGTGTTGGAGTGGTTGGTATTTTTGTTTAATAAATGTATGAAAGAGGGGAAGGTACCTAGGGATTGGCAGAGAGCATGTATAGTCCCTTTATATAAAGGGAAGGGGGACAAAAGAAATTGTAAAAATTACAGAGGAATAAGTTTACTGAGTATACCAGGAAAAGTGTATGGTAGGGTTATAATTGAAAGAATTAGAGGTAAGGCAGAATGTAGGATTGCGGATGAGCAAGGAGGCTTCAGAGTGGGTAGGGAATGTGTAAATCAAGTGTTTGCATTGAAGCATATATGTGAACAGTATTTAGATAAAGGTAGGGAAGTTTTTATTGCATTTATGGATTTAGAAAAGGCATATGATAGAGTGGATAGGGGAGCAATGTGGCAGATGTTGCAAGTATATGGAATAGGTGGTAAGTTACTAAATGCTGTAAAGAGTTTTTATGAGGATAGTGAGGCTCAGGTTAGGATGTGTAGAAGAGAGGGAGACTACTTCCTGGTAAAAGTAGGTCTTAGACAGGGATGTGTAATGTCACCATGGTTGTTTAATATATTCATAGATGGGATTGTAAAAGAACTAAATGCTAGGGTGTTCAGGAGAGGGGTGGGATTAAATTATGGGGGAATTAAATACAAAATGGGAATTGACACAGTTGCTTTTTGCTGATGATACTGTGCTTATGGGAGATTCTAAAGAAAAATTGCAAAGGTTAGTGGATGAGTTTGGGAGTGTGTGTAAAGGTAGAAAGTTGAAAGTGAACATAGAAAAGAGTAAGGTGATGAGGGTATCAAATGATTTAGATAAAGAAAAACTGGATATCAAATTGGGGAGGAGGAGTATGGAAGAAGTGAATGTTTTCAGATACTTGGGAATTGACGTGTCAGCGGATGGATTTATGAAGGATGAGGTTAATCATAGAATTGATGAGGGAAAAAAGGTGAGTGGTGCATTGAGGTATATGTGGAGACAAAAAAACGTTATCTATGGAGGCAAAGAAGGGAATGTATGAAAGTATAGTAGTACCAACACTCTTATATGGGTCTGAAGCTTGGGTTGTGAATGCAGCAGTGAGGTGGTTGGAGGCAGTGGAGATGTCCTGTCTAAGGGCAATGTGTGATGTATATATTATGCAGAAAATTCGGAGTGTGGAAATTAGGAGAAGATGTGGAGTTAATAAAAGTATTAGTCAGAGGGCTGAAGAGGGGTTGTTGAGGTGGTTTGGTCATTTAGAGAGAATAGATCAAAGTAGAATGACATGGAGAGCATATAAATCTGTAGGGGAAGGAAGGCAGGGTAGGGGTCATCCTCAAAAAGATTGGAAGGAAGGGGTAAGGGAGGTTTTGTGGGCGAGGGGCTTGGACTTCCAGCAGGTGTGCATGAGAGTGTTCGATAGGAGTGAATGGAGATGAATGGTGTTTGGGACCTGACGATCTGTTGGAGTGTGAGCAGGGTAATATTTATTTAAGGGATTCAGGGAAACCGGTTATTTTCATATAGCCGGACTTGAGTCCTGGAAATGGGAAGTGCAATGCCTGCACTCTAAATGAGGGGTTCAGGATATTAGCAGTTTGGAGGGATATGTTGTGTATCTTTATATGTATATGCTTCTAAGCTATTGTGTTCTGAGCACCTTTGCAAAAACAGTGATTATGTGTGAGTGAAGTGAAAGTGTTGAATGATGATGAAAGTATTTTCTTTTTGGGGATTTTCTTTCTTTTTGGGCCACCCTGCCTCGGTGGGAGACGGCCAACTTGTTAAAAAAAAAAAAAAAAAAAAAATGGGAGCAAGGGCCCAGTAACCCTTCTCCTGTATAAATTACTAAATTTAAAAAAGAGAAACTTTCATTTTTATTTTTTGGGCCACCCTGCCTTGGTGGGATACGGCCGGCTTGTTGAAAAAAAATAATTAAAAACCACCGAAATAGTGAAACGGTGTAAAGCGGGGCACCACAAAGCGAGGTCCTCCTGAGGCAGAATGGTTGTAGTACATGCTCCAGTAGTGTCTGAGATAGATGGTAAAGGGAGCTGGTGAATAGCACATGGTAGATAAACAAGGAAGAACTGGGCAGTAAAAGTTACTAGTCTTACAAAACATAATACAGAAGTTGTACAAAATGAAGATTATTCCTAATGTTGTTCATGAAGCACAAACACAAAAAATCTCACCACCAGTCAAAATCAATGTGAAAAGTTAAAAATTTGAAACCGTTTGAAAAGCATTCAGAAGACAGGAAAACAGTAGCTTACAATTGGATGGCTCAGGCATTATGTCTTACAGTATTTAATAATTCACTAAACTCATAAAGGTTAAACATAGAAAAAACTCACCATCAAGACAAAATCCATTCCAAAAGTGACCACCTGAAAAATTTCTCATCAAAAAAACAAAAAACAAAAAAAAACAAAAAAAAAGCCACTAAGTGTAGCAAATTATGCTAGGTGTTTCAAGGTTCACTCTCATCAGTTGAACGTTTTCTACATATCTAAACATAATTCTGTATGGCAAGAAGCAATTAACCTAGCAAATATGTTGAAAGACATGACATGAAAGATCCTTAACCCTTACAAGGTTGGAACACATCACCTGAGAATTGCTCTCAGAGTTGGATAATTTAATTTTTTTTCTACGAAATGACAGAAAATCTTTTTCCGAAGGTAATGAAATCAAAAGTATGAAATTTGATGGAAAGCTTACAGAATTATGATCTCACAAAGTTAGCAGTCTTGGCAATATTTACACATTGGAGATTACGCCCACTTTAACCCCTATTTTCAGCCAATTCAACTGCTCTAGTTGACCAAACTCATAGGTATTTTGCTAGTATTCCTTCTATTCTGTTGATTGAGTACAAGAAACTGCTCATTTACCTATTTCAACTACTCAATAAAGTGATCAGAAATTGGTAATTTGACCAATTTCACACAAAATTAAAAAATTGCCAATTTAAAAAGAGTCCAGAATAAACAATGTAGAAATTTGTGGCACTTTAAAAACATTTCCTCTGTTCATTAGTTACGATCCCCAGGCCTCTCCTATTGTAACAACTGCATTATTGTAACAATTGTATAAATAATGTTAGTGCATTCCTGGACACATATCAGACCAACCAGTCAAACACATTGGATGAGTGTAATATGTCATTACGTATATGATGAGTGGTGCTGTGTTATTTGTTGTTGGGTGTATAAAGGCCACTGAAAGATAAGCCTTACTTAGTGATGGTGATGGCGGCAGGAGAGACGGAAGTGTTGTCAGTCGCCCTATATAACTCCAACAACACTGGAGGAGTCAGTTTCGTGCTGTCCTTTTTCTATCGATTAATCGCTTAACTTACTTGCTATACTGTTAATGCTACACTTTATCACTGGCTGGCGCTATAGCCTTTATCGTACTCCTGCTGCTTTAGTATTGTACATATTGCAGAATCACTGAAGAAGGCACATCTTCCCTGTCTCTCAGCCCTTTACCAAAGGACTGGCTGGCACTAGGAACGTTCTTTGGGCCCATGGTGGCTTATTTAGCAGTTGAAAGCACTAAAAAGAATGGAATATTACGAAATGTATCACATAAATGCATGGGGTGATGGTCACTCGCTGATAAACAATGGCAGACTGACTGTGAATGGTGTGGAATGGTGTGTGGGGCCGGTTGTATGCATTTCGGGACGAACGACTATTACAGAGGTAAGTGATGATCACCGAGCCAATATTTTGATGAAAAAAAGTTATGATTAACAAATATTACGAAATCCGATGACTATGATATCCAGGGATCCACTGTACATGAAAATACACTGTAAAGTCGATGTTTTAAACCAAAAACACAGTTACGTTTTTTTTTTCCCATTATGCACTGCATGCTGCAAATTTGTTTTTATATGGTGCACACTTACCACATAGACCCATTCTCTCATATCTATGCCCAAATTTACCACTAACAGCTTATCTGAGAGAGCTAATCTCATCACATTGAACATCGGGATTGACCCATGCTTCAAAGCCGTAGTACAACAGGACCCATCCCGAAAGGGTTAATGCAAATGACATAATAGTTAAACATATTCTGTACATATTAAATGCATCTTAATCAAGCAAATTTGACCAAAGACAATTACACTTAACTCTATAAACACACACCTAGTTCAATTTTCTTTTTTAACACATCAGCCGTTTTCCACCAAGGCAGGGTGATCCGACAAAGAAGAAACTTTCCTCATCACTCACTCCATCACTGTCTTGCCAGAGGCATGCTGATACTAGTGGTCAAAAACTGCAACATATCTCCACTCATCCTTCAGAGTGTAGGCACTGTACCTCCCACCTCCAGGACTCAAGTCCAACTAAGTATTTCCTGCTGAAGGTTTCTGTTGTTATAGTAAAATATTAAACCTATTCACCAGCCTCCCCCATTCTCTGTAAAAACTTACTTCCTTGTAGAAAATTTGGAACAGAGAGAGTAGTTTTCAAGTCAAAGATCTTAACAGTCACTGAAGGGTAATCCCAAGACACAGTATGACTTGCAGTTATTTGGGGTATGGCTTCCACATTGACGTGAAACATGTGAACAGTGCCGCTCTCGCCACAGGTTCCTGATACTCTTCTGCCAAAGGCAAAAATAAAGAATATTAGTAGAAAGTATTGCTAAACACATGTTTAAATACAAACAGTCACACAATGTTCCCCAAATTCTGTTTTTTTTTTTTTAACACACTGCCTGTCTCCCACCAAGGCAGGGTGACCTGAAAAAGAAACACTTTCACCATAAAAGAATAAAGAATAAAGATTTTATTTCTTTGTAAAGGTTACAATGTGTAATTACAATTTTGGTTTGCTAAGTAGAGAAAGCCACTATCATGCCGGGGCATTTGGGCAGACTAATCCTAGTACATAATAACTACGTAAATCTAGACAAGATAAGAGTGGTTAACTTTTATTAAAACCATCATTGACACTTACACTATCTTGTCAGAGGCACACAGATGCAAAGGTTCAGACAGTTCTATTATTCTTATTATATTCAATGGGAAACACTGGCCCCTCAAGGGAGGTTCCTTGATGCTGGTGAGGGGCTCTTGATCTTGGGAATTGGATCTGTGCTCCAGTTCCCTGAACTGAGGCTGAATGCCTTCCATACCCCCCGCCCCCCACTGGCACTGTATAATCCTATGGGTTTAATGCTCCCCATGATTATAATAATAATAATAATGTAATGGGAAACACCAAACCTGTGATATTCGTACAGCGCCTAAGGAATAGGAGGTAATAAGAAAAATAAGGGTAGCTCCAATTTTGTAGATTATATTATATTTTTATACAGGTACGCCATCACTAATCCGGCAGTCAGTAATCCGTGTCCATCAATAATTTGGGACTAATTTCAAATTTCCAGGGTCACCACACCAACCCGCCGCTACTTGCTGCATAAGTCATTCCAATTTCTTTTTCTCCATTTATTGTTATAACCTGCTTACTTTTAGCCCTAGCCTAGGTTCCAACAAATAAAAGAAATGCTTCCTGTTGTGTAAAGCATATACACCGTACATTGTCTATAAAAGATATGGTAGCTTTGAAGCTATTGTCGGTCACCATGAGCTCAGCTTGCTCAGATGAGCTGTGACTGGTAAATTTGGGCCTACATATGAGAGAACTGGTCTGTGTGGTAAGTGTGCACTATATATAAAATGCTGCAGCACACAGTGCATAATGAGAAAAAAAACTGTAACTGTGTTTTTGGTGTAAAACAGAGAATTTGCGGTGCATTTTCGTATGTTTTTTATAGTTGTTTTCTAGTTTTTTTCGTCTCATTTGACAGAATGGATGATATACTACAGAAATAGATAAGACTGATTGGTTTTATGATGAAAAGTATACCTTGAAATTGAGCTCAAAGTAGCGTAAATGTTCAATTTTTGCCGATGTTCATGAGTGAACAAATGATGTCACTGTCCAACATGTGTCCAACTGGCCGGGTCTAATACACAGTCATGAATCGGTTGACATTATTTATACAATTGTTACAGTAATGCAGTAGTCTGCATAACAGTAAATCTTCTATTTTTGTGTGAAGAAAAATTCAAAACTGAAAGCAAGTGTAATGTATAAGAGGAGCCTGGAGACATGATTAATGAACAGAAAAAAATGTTATTTTAGTGCCAGGAATGTCTTCATTGTTTATTCTGGACCCTATTTTGAAACTGGCATCTCTTGAAATTTGTGTGAAATTAGCCAAATGACCAATTTCTGACCACTTTATTGGGTAGTTGAAATAGGTAAATGGGCAGTTTCTTGTATTCAATCAACAGAATAGAAAGAATACTAGCGAAATAGCTATGAGTTTAGTAGATTGGAGCAATAGAATGGGCCAAAAATAGGTTGTAAAGTGGGTGAAATCGCCGATGCATAAATACTGCTGTTGGGTTAAATGTATTCTAATGTAATCACTCTCTAATCCGACAAAATCACTAATCCAGCACTCTACTGGTCCCAATGATGCCGGATTAGTGATCGTCAACCTGTATTTTTAGTAGCAGTCCTAGTTTAAAACTGCCTGAAAAGCTGTTCATAACTACGTACATGCTTTCCTTGTAAGAAAGATACAATAACATCCTACTATTGTAAATACTGTATCTTCTTAGGAAAAGTTATCATTATCAAAGCATTATTATGCTGCTGAAGTCAACCGGATCTGGACTGGAGATGATGAAGGCAGTATTATCCATGTATAAAACTGTTTTAAGTTGCTGAGATGCATTTGATAGGTCATAATATGAAGAATAAATAAAAGTGGTCTTAGTAAGAACATAAGAAAGAAGGAACACTGCAGCAGGCCTACTGGCCCATGTAAGGCAGGTCCAAGTCACCTCCCATCTTAAACCAATGACCCATATAGTAGGTTCAGGCCACATCCACTTAAGGCTATGGTATCAAACCTATTAGCACAAGCTAATCAGGTCCAACTCACACCCACTCATGTATTTTTCTAACCTATTTTTAAACTACACGTCTTAGCTTCTATGATGGTACTCGGGAGTTTGTTCCACTCATTCGCAACTCTATTACCAAACCAGTGCTTTCCTATATCCTTCCAAAATCTGAATTTTTCCAACTTAAAACCATTGCTGCAAATCCTGTCTTGGCTAGATATTTTCAGCACGCTATTTATATTCCCTTTATTTATTCCTATTTTCCATTTATATACCTCAATCATATCACCCCTAATTATATGCCTTTCTAGAGAGTGCAGATTCATGGCCCTCAGTCTGTCCTCATAGGGAAGATTTCTGACACGCGGGATGAACTTTATCATCCTCCTTTGTACGTTTTCCAGTGCATTTATATCCATTCCGTAATACGGTGACCAAAACTGTGCAGCATAATCTAAATGAGGCCTAACCAAAGATATATAGAGTTGAAGGACAACCTGAGGACTCCTATTATTTATGCTTCTTGATATAAAGTCAAGGATTCTGCTTGCTTTATTGTGAACACTTATGCACTGCTGTCTTTGTTTTAGATTACTGCTAACCAGAACTCCAAAATACTTTTCACAATCAGTAATATTAAGATCTACATTATTTGGTTTATATGTGGCATGGTTATTTTCTTGTCCAATGTTTAGAAATTTGTATTTGTCTATATTAAACTGCATCTGCCACTTCTCTGACCACTGCATCAGTCTATTTAAATCTTCTTGGAGTGCTCTAATGTCCTCATATGAATGAATCAGGTGACCTATTTTGGTGTCATCAGCAAACTTGCTTATGCCACTATTTATTCCCTCATCAATGTCGTTTATATAAATTGTGAACAACAAAGGGCCCAACACTGACCCCTGTGAAACACCACTAGTGACATGCACCCACTCTGATTTCTCCCCATTGATGCAAACTGTCTGCTGCCCATTTGTCAACCACGCCTCTACCGAGGAATGTTGCACAACAGTACAAGTAAATTTTTTGTATAGTGAGTAGGTTTAGGCCTTTGAAGAGTGGGGTGGGGGGGGTGAGGGGGTTTGCCTAGAAGTGGATTGTGCGATCATTTGCACTGCAGCTTTTTGTTGAGTTATTATTGGTTTTAGGTGATCTGTCATTGTAAAACTCCAGGCACAAATAGCATAGGTGAGGTAGGGGTATATCACTGAATAGTATAGTGTAAGTAGTGCTGTTTGTGGTACATAGTAACGTATCTTTGAGAGGATGCCAACTGTTTTAGAAACTTTTTTTGTTGTGTGTTGGACATGGGTGTTGAATTTCAGGTTGCTATCAAGGTGGAGACCAAGGAATTTTCCCTCATTATGTTTAGCAATAAGGGTGTTGTTAAGCATAATGTTTAGTTGGACCTCACTTGCTCTACTACCAAACATTATGTAAAAGGTTTTGTCTATATTAAGTGTAAGTATATTGACAGTCAACCATGTTGCTATTTTTGCAAGTTCTTATAACATAAGAATATAAGAGAGAAGGAACACTGCAACAGGCCTTCTGGCCTATGCAAGGCAGGTCCAATTTTCCCACCAACTTAAGCCAATGCCTTGACCTAGTCAGGTCAGACATGTTACTTAAGGGAGGAGCACAGCATCTGACCTAGTAGCACAAGCTAGTCAGGTCCAACTCACACCCACTCATGTATTTATCCATCCTATTTTTAAAACTACACAACGTCTTTGCTTCTGTGACGGTACTCAGGAGTTTGTTCCACTCATCCACAACTCTATTGTCAAACCAGTGCTTTCCTATATCCTTCCTGAATTTGAATTTTTCCAACTTAAAACCATTGCTGCAAGTCCTGTCATGGCTAGATATTTTCAGCACACTATTTATATTCCCTTTATTTATTCCTGTTTTCCATTAGTGTATATACCTCAATCATAAAGGTAGTAGGTTGGTAGACAGCAACCACCCAGGGAGGTACTACTGTCCTGCCAAGTGAGTGTAAAACGAAAGCCTGTAATTGCTTTACATGATGATAGGATTGCTGGTGTCCATTTTTCTGTCTCATAAACATGCAAGGTTTCAGGTATGTCTTGCTACTTCTACTCACACTTAGGTCACGCTACACATACATGTACAAGCATATATATATACATACACCCCTCTGGGTTTTTTCCTGTTTTCTTTCTAGTTCTTGTTTTTGTTTATTTCCTCTTATCTCCATGGGGAAGTGGAACAGAATTCTTCCTCTGTAAGCCATGCGTGTTGTAAGAGGCAACTAAAATGCCAGGAGCAAGGGGCTAGTAACCCCTTCTCCTGTATATATTAATAAATGTAAAAGGAGAAACTTTCGTTTTCCCTTTTGGGCCACCCCGCCTCAGTGGGATACGGCCGGTGTGTTGAAAGAAAGACCTCAATCATAAAGGTAGTAGGTTGGTAGACAGCAACTGCCCAGGGAGGTACTACCGTCCTGCCAAGTGAGTGTAAAACGAAAGCCTGTAATTGCTTTACATGATGATAGGATTGCTGGTGTCCATTTTTCTGTCTCATAAACATGCAAGATTTCAGGTACGTCTTGCTACTTCTACTTACACTTAGGTCAGACTACACATACATGTACAAGCATATATATACACACCCCTCTGGGTGTTCTGCTATTTTCTTTCTAGTTCTTATTCCTGTTTATTTCCTCTTATCTCCATGGGGAAGTGGAACAGAATTCTTCCTCCATAAGCCATGCATGTTGTAGGAGGCGACTAGAATGCCGGGAGCGGGGGGCTAGTAACCCCTTCTCCTGTATATATTACTAAATGTAAAAGGAGAAACTTTCGTTTTTCCTTTTGGGCCACCCCGCCTCGGTGGGATATGGCTAATGTGTTGAAAGAAAGAAGAAGACCTCAATCATATCACCCCTAATTCTATGCTTTTCTAGAGAGTGAAGATTCAGGGCCTTCAGTCTATCCTCATAGGGAAGACTTCTGATACATGGGATCAACTTTGTCTTCCTCCTTTGTATATTTTCCAGTGCATTTATATCCATTCTGTCATACGGTGACCAAAACTGCACAGCATAATCTAAATGAGGCCTAACCAAAGATATATAGAGTTGCAGAACAACCTGAGGACTTCTGTTATTTATACTTCTTGATATGAAGCCAAGGATTCTGTTAGCTTTATTGCAAACACTTATGCACTGTTGTCTTGGTTTTAGATTACTGCTAACTAGAACTCCTAAATCCTTTTAACAATCCATAATATTAAAATCTACATTATTTAGTTTATATATGGCATGGTTATTTTCCTGTCCAACATTTAGAACTTTTCATTTGTCTACATTAAACTGCATCTGCCACTTCTCCGACCACTGCATCAGTCCATTCAAATCATCCTGGAGTGCTCCTATGTCCTCATTAGAATGAATTGGATGGCCTACTTTGGTGTCATCAGCAAATTTGCTTACGTCGCTATTTATTCCCTATCTTGGACCTGCCTCGCATGGGCCGGTAGGCCTGCTGCAGTGTTCATTCTTTCTTATGTACTTATGTTCTGTCATTTATATAGACTGTGAACAACAAGGGGCCCAACACTGACTCCTGTGGATCACCGCTTGTGATGTGCCCCCATTCTGATTTCTCCCCATTTATGCACACTCTTTACTGCCTATTTGTCAACCATGCCTCTTCCCAGGAAAAAATTTCTCCTCCTGTTCCGTGTGCCTTAAGTTTTCTCAATAGCCTCTGATGTGGAACTCTATCAAAAGCCTTACTGAAGTCCATATACACAATATCATATTCAATACCATGATCTACCTCCTCAAATACCTTAGTGAAGAAAGTAAATTTGTAAGACAGGAATGGCCCTTTGTAAAATCTGGCTGAGATTCATTAATCAATTTATGCCTTTCAAGATGGCTACGAATTGCTTCGGCAATTATTGATTCCATAAATTTACCAACTATGGAGGTAAGGCTTATTGGTCTATAATTTGGTCTATAATTTGTCACCTGCCTTGTAAATAAGTATTACATTTGCCGTTTTCCACTTGTCTGGCACTATGCCAGTTTGTAGTGATATATTGAAAAGATTAGCCAATGGTATGCTAAGTTCCTCTTTATATTCCTTTAAAACCATTGTGAACAGTTCATCAGGGCCTGGGGATTTGTTAGGTTTTAATTTCTCTATTTGTCTGAGGACCATGTCACAAATAGAGAAATTAAAACCTAACAAATCCCCAGGCCCTGATGAACTGTTTGAAAGGGTTTTAAAGGAATGTAACAACAATGTTGAGTGAGGCTAGATTTAGGTGGGAGATGGCAAAAGTCGTGTAGGTGTAAAATGCCACTAGCATGCCACTAGTAAAAGGCCACTAGCCTGCCTAGGCAGGCTAGTGGCCTTCTTTATAATTAATATTTTATAATATGTAAACCATGCATTGTAAGCTTTGCAAGGAAATAAAATTCACCTAGCAGTAAGTATGTATCTGGGTGTTAGTTGACTGGTGTGGGTTGCATCCTGGGAACAAATTAACCTAAGTTGTGGGAAATGCTCTGCATAACCTAGGACTTTCTATGTAGTATGTTATTGGTGTCAGCTATGGTCTGTATAAGTTGTATAATGTACTTGTAGAAATAAATATTATTATTATTATTATTATTATTATTATTATTATTATTATTATTATTATTATTTCTTTCAACACACCGGCCGTATCCCACCGAGGCGGGGTGGCTCAAAAGGAAAAACGGAAGTTTCTCCTTTTACATTTAGTAATACAGTGGACCCCCAGTTAACGATATTTTTTCACTCCAGAAGTATGTTCAGGTGCCAGTACTGACCGAATTTGTTCCCATAAGGAATATTGTGAAGTAGATTAGTCCATTTCAGACCCCCAAACATACACATACAAATGCACTTACATAAATACACTTACATAATTGGTCGCATTCGGAGGTGATCGTTATGCGGGGGTCCACTGTATATACAGGAGAAGGGGTTACTAGCCCCTTGCCCCTGGCATTTTAGTTGCCTCTTACAACACGCATGGCTTACGGAGGAAGAATTCTGTTCCACTTCCCCATGGAGATAAGAGGAAATAAACAAGAACAAGAACTAGAAAGAAAATAGCAGAAAACCCAGAGGGGTGTATATATATATATGCTTGTACATGTGTGTGTAGTGTGACCTAAGTGTAAGTAGAAGTAGCAAGACGTACCTGTAATCTTGCATATTTATGAGACAGATAAAAGACACCAGCAATCCTACCATCATGTAAAACAATTACAGGCTTTCATTTCACACTCACTTGGCAGGATGGTAGTACCCCCCTGGATGGTTGCTGTCTACCAACCTACTACCTAAAATTATTATTATTATTATTATTATTATTATTATTATGTGTTTTCTTCTTAGCATCATCCTGCTTGGTTAAAAACAGGTAAAGTGATTACATGAAAGTAGGTGCCATAGGCAAGAAAACAATTCTGTATGACATCAAAATGTGGAGAAAATACAAGTGAATACAAGGAGCAACATTATATTATATAGTATAATATTTCAGAGTCAAAGATTTATTTCCACATGATACAATGCAATCATAGACGGGCATTTTTAACTATGCAAGACAAGCCAAGGGGGGTGGAAATCTGTAGCTCAAGTACTTTCACACTTCTCAGTGCATCATCAGGAGCTGTGCAACGTTGCAAAAGAGCAACTAAAACAGGGAGAGTTTTTAGGGTAGCATAGTGTGGATGTGTCACCGTCCACGGATGATACAATGTTTGTACAGAGATGGGTGACATTTGGTTGTGCATGCAGAAAGCCCATGGTTATGCAGAGCATTTCAGGCAAACTTAAGCCTAACATAAGACTACAATGGCAATAATTATTATAAGCTGATATATAAATACATACAGCCTTTCCTCACTTAACTACGTACGGAGTTCCATTCCAAAGATCACATCGTTAAACGAATTTGTCGCTAAGTGAAGAACATACTATAATGGGAGTGAGCTTGTGTCAACCATCTTTGATATTGTTTTAATGTCACCTTTGCACCATTTATAACATTTCTGGTATATTTTTAAATGTTTATATAGTAGTGTACTGTATATTGAAATAAACAGAATAGAGGAAATCAGCTCTAATATACATTATTTAGGTATGAATACTGGTCAGAAAGCCTGTTGTAAGTCTGAGGCATCGGTAAACGAGTACGTCGCTAAATGAGGAGAGGCTGTATATAATAAAAAAAAATCGAGGAAATTATAGAATATTGTACTTCTTGTTGTCCGAAGAATAAAAGACGTCCATCCAGAGTGTGATGTTGGTTGTTTGTGAGAACTCAGGGAATGACTCAGAGCACTCCACTTCCTGGTAGCTGTGACTTTCATCATCAGAGTGGTACAAATGGATGCAACTGTCACTCCCACTTAGTAACCATACAGTCTGTAAAGAATACAACTGATGTATAATTGGTGGCTTACAAATGAAGAATATACGGATAACAAAAAACATGTTTTCTCAATAAAATGTCATAAAAAATAAAATGTCAATAAATGTCATACAGTGTCTTATTCACCCATGAAAGACATAGGCTCAATCCTGAGTAAGGTGAAGACACAGTGTATTTCTTTAACCCTTTCAGGGTCCGTGCCATAGATCTACAGCTTTACGCTGAGGGTCCAAACCACAGATTTACGCCATGAGCTCAGCTCACTCTGATAAGCTGTGAGTGGTAAATTTGGGCCTAGATATGAGAGAATACATCTATGTGGTATGTGTGCACCACATAAAACAAATCCTGCAGTGCACAGTGCATAATGAGAGGAAAAAACTGAGACAATAATTTTCAATTAAAACTGACTTTGCAGTGTTTTTTCGTATGTTTTTCATAGTTGTATTTGCGATTTCTTGGTCTCATTTGATAGAATGGAAGATATATTACAGAAATAGATATGACTTTGATTGGTTTTAGTACTGGAAATGGCTTGAAACTGAGCTCAAAGTAGCGGAAATGTTAAATTTTTGCCGATGTTCAAGAGTAAACAAATGACCTCACACGTCTAATACACGCCAGCTGGTGGGTCTAATATATGTTCACAAATGTGTTGATATTATTTATACAATTATTACAATATTGCATAACAGTAAATCTTCTATTTTTTGGTTTGAATAAAAATTCATTATGTGAATTAAAAGTCAAAATGGAATTCATTTGTAAAGCCTGAAAACATAACTAATGAACAGAGGAAATGTTAGTTTAGTACCAGGAATACCTACATTGTTTATTCTGGACCCTATTTTGAAATTGGAATATTTTGAACTTTGCATTAAATTGGCCAAATTACCAATTTCCAATCACTTTATTTTGTAGTTGAAACAGCTGACATGGTGATTTCTTGTGAAATAGCTAAGAATTTGGTTGACTGGAATAATGTAATTGGCCTAAAATGGGAGTCAAAGTTGGCAAAATTGCCAATGCATAAATATCACTGACACATCAAAATTCAAGAGAGCATAATTTCATCAATTTTCCATCAAATTTCGTACTTTTTGTCTTATTACCTTCAGAAAAAGATTCTCTACCATTTCATAAGAAAAAATAACAAAATTATTTTTTGAAAATTCTTGGGCCCTGGTTCACACTTTGAAATTTGGCTTCTGGACCCTGAAAGGGTTAAATCTGTTGCCCCTCTTCACTACTTACCTGGAGTTTACCTGGAGAGAGTTCTGGGGGTCAATGCCTCCGCAGCCCAGTCTGTGACCAGGCCTCATGGTGGATCAGGGCCTGATCAACCAGGCTGTTACTGCTGGCTACACGCAATCCAAAGTACGAACCATAGCCCGACTGGTTAGGTACCAACTTTAGGTGCTTGTCCAGTGCCTGCTTGAAGACAGCCAGGGGTCTATTGGTAATCCCCCTTATGTATGCTGGGAGGCAGTTGAACAGTCTTGGGCCCCTGACACTTATTGTGTTGCCTTTTAACGTGCTAGTGACACCCCTGCTTTTCATTGGGGAGATGTTGCATCATCTGCCGAGTCTTTTGCTTTCATGGGGAGTGATTTTCGTGTGCAAGTTTGGTACTAGTCCCTCTAGGATTTTCCAGGTGTATTTTTTCTTTTATTAACACATCGGCCGATTCCCACCAAGGCAGGGTGGCCAGAAAAAGAAAAACTTTCATCATCATTCACTCCATCACTGTCTTGCCAGAGGTGTGCTTTACACTACAGTTATAAAACTACAACATTAACACCCCTCTTTCAGAGTGTAGACACTGTACTTCCCATCTCCAGGACTCAAGTCCGGCCTGCCAGTTTCCCTGAATCGTTTCATAAATGATATTTTGCTCACACTCCAACAGCACGTCAAGTATTAAAAACCATTTGTCTCCATTCACTCCTATCAAATATGCACAAGCACGCTTGCTGAAAGTCCAAGCCCCTTGCACACAAAAACCTCCTTTACCCCTTCCCTCCAACCCTTCCTAGGCCGACCCCTACCCCGCCTTCCTTCCACTACAGATTTATACACTCCTGAAGTCATTCTGTTTTGTTCCATTCTCTCTACAACCAAATCAAACCACCAAACGACCTCAACAACCCCTCCTCAGCCCTCTGGATAATAGTTTTGGTAATCCCACACCTTCTCCTAATTTCCAAACTACGAATTCTTTGCATTATATTCACACCACACATTGCCCTCAGACATGACATCTCCACTGCCTCCAGCCTTCTCCTCACTGCAACATTCATCACCCATGCTTCACACCCATATTAGAGTGTTGGTACAACTATACTCTCATATATTTCCCTCTTTGCTTCCACGGACAAAGTTCTCTGTCTACACAGACTTCTAAGTGCACCACTCGCCCTTTTTCCCTCATCAGTTCTGTGATTCACCTCATCCTTCATAGACCTATCTGCTGACAAGTCCGCTCCTAAATATCTGAATACATTCACCTCCTCCATATTCTCTCCCTCCAATCTGATATCCACTCTTTCATCACCTAATCTTTTTATCCTCATAACCTTACTCTTTCCTATATTCACTTTTAATTTTCTTCTTTTACATACCCTACCAAATTCATCCACCAACCTCTGCAACTCCTCTTCAGAATCTCACAAAAGCACCGTGTCATCAGCAAAAAGGAACTGTAACAACTCCCACTTTGTGTTTGATTCTTTATCTTTCAACTCCACACCTCTTGCCAAGACCCTAGCATTCACTTCCATGTGTATATAATCATGTATCTCTCATGCCTGCATTCCAGGGAGTACAGTTTTAGGAACTTCAAGCACTCCCAGTAAATGAGGTGTTTTATCTCTTATGAGTGAATAGGGTTATTAAAGCTTATTTGTTGGTAGCACTGAAAATGGGTTGGGCAAATATTTTTATTAGATGGTTTGGGATTGAGAAGGGCCTGCCTAGTTTGAACCAGTAGGCCTGTTTCAGTGTTCCTCCTTTATTATGTTGTTGTGTAAATAGGCACCCAGGTATTAGTTTACTGTTGGGGTGTTATCCTGAGGGAACTGGAACTGTGTAGAGCTAAGTCAGTACCTGCCTGTTTCTGACTATGGTAGCATATGCTCCTCAGTACATTCAAATATTTTTTTTTCAACAAAGCAGTCATATCCTACCGAGGCAGGGTGACCTAAAAAGAAAAAATGAAGGTTTCTCTTTTTAAATTCAGTAATGTATACAGGAGAAAGGGTTACTAGACCCTTGCTCCTGGCATTTTAGTTGCCTCTAACGACACGAATGGCTTACAGAAGAAGAATGCTTTTCCACTTCCCCATGGAGTTAAACAGTTTTAGTATCTTCAAATATATTTCAGATCTAAACATAATAACAAATTTTGTTTATTTGATAAATTGTATATTATATGCAAGAATCATGGACAAGTGACACAGGATGCTCCCCCTGTGGTTGTTTTGCATTTTATATTATATTAATCATTTCAGAATCCTGAAGATAGTAATAGTCACTGAAATGTTACTTGTTAATATGTGATCTTTGAAAACAAAGTCTTGATGTATGATACAGAACTGTATACACTTTATACATAAGCATACAATTATGAAAGACAAGACAGCATGAAGATATACATAGCAATTAAACATGCATATGTATGCATCTTGTAGGAGTGAGGAAGAGCCAGTTGTGAGTGTGGGGGAAGTTCCTGAGGCAGTAGGCAGAATGAAAGGGGGTAAGGCAGCCGGGATTGATGGAATAAAGATAGAAATGTTAAAAGCAGGTGGGGATATAGTTTTGGAGTGGTTGGTGCAATTATTTAATAAATGTATGGAAGAGGGTAAGGTACCTAGGGATTGGCAGAGAGCATGCATAGTTCCTTTCTATAAAGGCAAAGGGGACAAAAGAGAGTGCAAAAATTATAGGGGGATAAGTCTGTTGAGTATACCTGGTAAAGTGTATGGTAGAGTTATTATTGAAAGAATTAAGAGTAAGACGGAGAATAGGATAGCAGATGAACAAGGAGGCTTTAGGAAAGGTAGGGGGTGTGTGGACCAGGTGTTTACAGTGAAACATATAAGTGAACAGTATTTAGATAAGGCTAAAGAGGTCTTTGTGGCATTTATGGATTTGGAAAAGGCATATGACAGGGTGGATAGGGGGGCAATGTGGCAGATGTTGCAGGTGTATGGTGTAGGAGGTAGGTTACTGAAAGCAGTGAAGAGTTTTTACGAGGATAGTGAGGCTCAAGTTAGAGTATGTAGGAAAGAGGGAAATTATTTCCCAGTAAAAGTAGGCCTTAGACAAGGATGTGTGATGTCACCATGGTTGTTTAATATATTTATAGATGGGGTTGTAAGAGAAGTAAATGCGAGGGTCTTGGCAAGAGGCGGGAGTTAAAAGATAAAGAATCACACATAAAGTGGGAGTTGTCACAGCTGCTCTTTGCTGATGACACTGTGCTCTTGGGAGATTCTGAAGAGAAGTTGCAGAGATTGGTGGATGAATTTGGTAGGGTGTGCAAAAGAAGAAAATTAAAAGTGAATACAGGAAAGAGTAAGGTTATGAGGATAACAAAAAGATTAGGTGATGAAAGATTGGATATCAGATTGGAGGGAGAGGTATGGAGAAGGTGAATGTATTCAGATATTTGGGAGTGGACGTGTCAGCGGATGGGTCTATGAAAGATGAGGTGAATCATAAATTGATGAGGGGAAAAGGGTGAGTGGTGCACTTAGGAGTCTGTGGAGACAAAGAACTTTGTCCTTGGAGGCAAAGAGGGGAATGTATGAGAGTATAGTTTTACCAACGCTCTTATATGGGTGTGAAGCATGGGTGATGAATGTTGCAGCGAGGAGAAGGCTGGAGGCAGTGGAGATGTCATGTCTGAGGGCAATGTGTGGTGTGAATATAATGCAGAGAATTCGTAGTTTGGAAGTTAGGAGGAGGTGCGGGATTACCAAAACTGTTGTCCAGAGGGCTGAGGAAGGGTTGTTGAGGTGGTTCGGACATGTAGAGAGAATGGAGCGAAACAGAGTGACTTCAAGAGTGTATCAGTCTGTAGTGTAAGGAAGGCGGGGTAGGGGTCGGCCTAGGAAAGGTTGGAGGGAGGGGTAAAGGAGGTTTTGTGTGGGGAGGGGCTTGGACTTCCAGCAGGCATGCGTGAGCGTGTTTGATAGGAGTGAATGGAGACAAATGATTTTTAATACTTGACGTGCTGTTGGAGTGTGAGCAAAGTAACATTTATGAAGGGGTTCAGGGAAACCAGCAGGCCGGACTTGAGTCCTGGAGATGGGAAGTACAGTGCCTGCACTCTGAAGGAGGGGTGTTAATGTTGCAGTTTAAAAACTGTAGTAGTGTAAAGCACCCTTCTGGCAAGACAGTGATGGAGTAAAATGATGGTGAAAGTTTTTCTTTTTCGGGCCACCCTGCCTTGGTGGGAATCGGCCAGTGTGATAATAAAAAAAAAAATAAAAAATGTATGCAATTACAAAAGACAGGATACTACAAGCATTATGCTAATAGTTAAAATTACAGGTCCGCCATCACAAATCCGGCAATCATTTATTCGGTTTCTTCAGTTATTTGGCACTAATTTTGGCTAGCATAATTTTAAATTTCCAGGGTTGCCACACCGGCCTGCTGGTACTGTTTGGTGGCGCTATTGCTGCATAAGTCATTCCAGTTTCTTTTTCTCCATTTATTGTTTTAACCTGTTTACTTTTAGCCCTAGCCATGCTTCCAATGAATAAAAGAAATGCTTCTCATTATGTAAAGCACCTACACAGTACATCATCCATTAAAGATAAGGTGGCTTTGAAGCCACTGTCGGTTGCCATGAGCTCAGTCTCATGAAGCAGGAGAATATGCTTTATTATTATGCTAATATCAACACTACAGCTTATTTGCCTATCACAATTGATCTAATATGACATAAGAAACAATATAAATAACATAAAACATGTTAAATACTCCAGAATGAATAATATTTGGCATAATACCAAGCAGTTCGATGGAGGTATGAAGAGGATATGGTATACAAATACCATTCTCCTATCCCTGTCTTGGGGATTATATTAGAGAAAACGGAGTATAGCACAGGGCTAACTGTGATATCCACTCGTACTGCACCATAAACCTGAAACAAAAGTTATTTTCTCTATATAGATTATCACACATAGCAGCATATGTGTAGAGAACCTAGGATAACCCAAAAAAAGTCAATGTGGCTTATTTTTAGTACCTGACTTGGGTTAGCCATATATGATTTTTGGTAAATATTCGATTCCCAACCAGGTTAGAAACATTAGGCGTGTTTCTTTACACCTGTTGTCTATGTTTGCCCATCAGTAAATGGGTACCTGGGTGTTAGCCGACTAGTGTGGGTGTTATCCTGGGACACTGACCTAATTTTCTTGAAATACTCTGCATAACAAGTGGCTTTCTATATAGTAGTATGTCACTGATGTCAGCTAGGCCTGTATACCTTGTACATGTACGTGTAGTAAATAAAGATATTATTATTATTATTATTATTATTATTATTATTATTATTATTATTATTATTATATTATTATTATTTTCTCAGTTGTTTGTTGGGTTATCTTATTCAAACTTGGGTAATGTATGATGGAAAGATACTTCTTCACATACACCAAAAATGAAAGAAATCAGACCATAAAGAGCGGAGTTCACTTCTCAGCCATTAGCGGCTGCTTAGCGGTATATTTTTGTATGGTTGTTATGGTTATACGTATTCTCATTTTTTCGGTCTCATTTGATAGAATGAAAGATATACTACAGAAATAGATATGATTTTGATTGCTTTCATGACGAAAAGTACCTTGAAATTGCGCTCACAGTAGCGAAAATGTTCTATTCTTTAGCGAAGCTCAAGGGTAAACAAATGACATCACCGTCCAATACCTGTCCGCCTGCCAGTCCAAATTCCAGTATGGAGTCAAGAATGACTTGACATTATTTATACATTTATTACAATAATGCAGCAGTCTGCATAACAGTAAATATTCTATTTTTTTGTGAATAAAAATTCCAAATGAAAAGCAAGAGTAATATAAGAGGGGCCTGTAGCCGTGACTAATGAACAGAGAAAATGTTATTTTAGTGCCAGGAATGTCTGCATTGTTTATTCTGGATCCTATTTTGAAATTGGCATCTGTTGAAATTTGTGTGAAATCAGCCAAATTGCCAATTTCTGACCACTTTATTGGGTAGTTGAAATAAGTGAATGGGCGGTTTCTTGTACTCAGTCGACAGACTAGAAGTAAATAAGTTTATTCAGGTATACACAAATATGGTTACACAGATTATCATACATAGCAGTGTATGTATAGAGAACCTAGGATAACCCAGAGAAGTCAGACAAAGTGACTTATTTCCAGTACCTGGCTTGGGCTTGCCATATATGATTTTTGGTAATTTTTTTTTTCTCGGTTGTTTGTTGGGCTATCTCATTGAAACTTGGGCAATGTGTGATGGAAAGATGCTTCTTAACGTACAACAAAAATGAAAAAGACGGACGATAAATAAGGGAGTTAACTTCTCAGCCATTAGCCGCCTCTTTGCAGTATATTTTCGTATGGTTTTTATGGTTGTATTCTCATTTTTTTGGACTGATTTGATAGAATGGAAGATATATTACAAAAATAGACATGATTTTGATTGCTTTCATGACAAAAAGTACCTTGAAATTGAGCTCAAAGTAGCGGAAATGTTTGATTTTTGCCGATGTTCAGTGAACTGTGTAAGTCAAGTTGGTTAATTTTATTAAGTGTATTCTAACCTAACCACTGTAATCTGGCAAACTCAGTAATCCAGCACACTACAGGTCCCAATGATGCCGGATTTGTGATGGAGGACTTGTATAACCATAATTTTTGAAGGGGTGGAATAGTAAGCCAGTAGAAGGCCTTGGTCAGATGACCAAAAGCTCCACTGATGGGTCATTACATGACCTGTCAGTGGAGCGTCAGGAAACACTTGTCCTGTTTCCTGACAAATATTACCTAACCTGACAAACCTTACCTTACCTAACCTAACCTAGCCTACCCTAACATGACAAATCTTACCTAACCTAACTTACAAGCATAACTTGACTTCTGTAACTACAAACAAATATTTCAGATGTAATTACCTATTTGTGGCTACAGGAGCAGAGTTATGTTGGTGGTGTCCTGTCTTCAGTACTCTCTTCATCATATACTTTTTCAAAATTTTCACTGGTTGCAGTGCTTATTACATTTTCTTGCAATTCATTCCATTGATCTATCACTAATAACTGTATATTCTTCACCCAAACTTCCATACAAACAATAATAAAAATAATAATTATTTGATAGTAAATATTTTATTTATATTTTTTATTAAGACATCAGCTGTTTCCCACCAAGGCATGGTGACCCTAAACAGAAGAAACAATTTCATCATCATTCACTCCATCACTGTCTTGCCAGAGGTGTGCCTACACTGCAGTTAAAAAACTGCAACACCACCCCTCCTTTAGAGCTCAGGCATTGTACTTCCCACCTCCCGGACTTCCCAGTTTCCCTAAATCCCTTCACAAATGTTACTTTGCTCACACTCCAACAGCATATAAAGTCATAAAAACCATTTGTCTCCACTTGCTCCTATCTAACACATTCATGCACGCTTGCTGGAAGTCCAAGCCCCTCACACATAAAACCTCCTTTACCCCCTTCCTCCAACCTTTCCAAGGCCAATCCCTACCCTGACTTCCTTCCACTACAGATTTATATTATATGTCACTTTATATTATGTCACTCTAAACAGCAAATATTCCAGACCCCTCCTTTAGAGTGCAAGCCCTGTACTTTCCACCTCCAGGAGTCAAGTCCAGCTAACTGGGTTTCCGTAAATCCCTTCACAAAATATTACCTTACTAACATATAAAGGTATAATCATATAAAAGTATTACCAAGGAACTGTTGGACACTGATTCACATGCAACAGGTATGCTAGAAATACATTTGTAACTTTTGCAAGATACATGTTTAATGTTGTCAAGTAGAGTTCATGCAGTTGATGGTGTGGATGACTGAGTACTATTTCAGAAAATGTAAGAAATTCAATAAGGTTTTTTTACATTTTGTACATCATGCCTGCTAGATGACCTAGTTATTTCTATTTTTGTCATCTTGAATACAGCAATGGCTAATGTGACCTGGATATAGTTTGTTTTTGTCCCGGTAAGTAAAGGAAGTCCTGGCTATTTTTTTTTGGTGGGTACTTATTCACATAGGTATGCTTTTTTTCTATCCCTACTTCAGCACTGATAAGGTTCTTTTTAGTTAGTTATTGACACATTTGATATTGCAATAAGATCACAGCAAACAGGTGATATCACAATATGCAAAATAACCACTGAAAAAATAGTGAAATTCCCAGTGGTTTTGTGATTTCTCACATTATCCTTGATAATGTGAGAAATCATGAAAGTGCTTGGAATTTCACTATTTTTCATTGTGGTTATGTTGCACATTTGATTATGATGAGCTGTGAGACACCATCTACCGATTTGCTTAATCTATATTCTTCTCTGATATATGCAAGGTCAATGTATCTAAATTAATTTTCTACTGCATACTAACATAGCTGTTCCTGGCTCTTCTGAAGGAAGGAAGGAGCTCTTCACATAATGTCAAATTAAGGGCTCTTACCTCCCATCCATGTTTGGTCTTTGTTTTAGTGTGATAAAGGTGGTAGGGTACAAAGTCTAGTTCCAGAGGCAGACAGTTCTGAGAGACAACATCTAATGCACTGTCACAGTTCAGATCCCAGTCTGAGTAAATATTGAAGAAATGGCTCTGCTGTCCAGTGACATCATCTTTCTGTAAGGAAAATTTGACTAACTTTACTATATTGTAATTAATAACTAGTATATTTATTTATTTATTTATTTTTTATTTGGACATGATACATAGTTGTACAAAGAAATATAGTGATTGTGTGTATATGCCAAAAGCCCCTTGTATGCAGAGCATTATGGGCAGTCTTAAAATTAACTTGAGATTAACTAAGCAATGATATATTCAGTGGTAAAACATTATTGTAAACAGATAACAATTTAGCACAATTGAGTATTACAACGACAGGTCATATGGTCATTTATTGTGTTGCTGTGCATTCAGTAGAAGGGAGTATTCTGTTAGGTAATGTAATTAAAAAATAACAAAGTTCGATTGGGTTACAGGTTAAACATTTATGAGATACAATTATGAGAAACATTTATGAGATACAATTTATGAGATACAATTATTCAGTATTTATTTAGTTGTGGGCGAGTAAGTGATTTTTGAGAAGAGACTTGAATTTATATACAGACAGTGTTTCTTTTATATTCACAGGTAATGAATTCCAGATTTTAGGGCCTTTTATGTGCATTGAGTTTTTGCATAGCGTGAGATGGACACGAGGAACATCAAAGAGTGATCTGTGTCTTGTGTTATGGTCATGTGTTCTGCTGAGGTTGGCAAGGCGACGTTTCAGGGGAGGGTTTATATCCGAGTTAAGTGTTCTATGTATGTAGTAGGTGAAGTAATAAGTATGGATGTTTTGTATGGTGAGTAGGTTTAGAGTTTTGAATATTGGTGGAGTGTGCTGCCTGTAGTGGAAATTTGTTATCATTCTGACTGCAGCCTTTTGTTGGGTAATTAGTGGTCTGAGATGGTTTATTGTTGTTGAGCCCCATGCACAAATTCCATAGGTGAGATAGGGGTAAATAAGTGAGTGATATAGGGCCAGGACGGCTGACTGTGGAACATAATACCGTGTCTTCGATAGTATGCCTACGGTCTTGGAAATTTTCTTGGAAATTTGTTGTATATGTGTTTGAAATTTGAGTCTATTATCAAGGTGGATTCCTAAGAATTTTCCCTCTGTGAGCTTTGTGATAGGTGATCCGTTTATCATTGTGTTAAGAGGGACATCTGTAGCTCTGTTACCAAACTGAATGAAGTAGGTTTTGTCAATGTTTAGAGTAAGTTTGTTAGTCCTCATCCAGGTAGATATTTTCTGTAATTCGGTATTCACAGTATTGGCTAGCATGACTGGGCTTGGGTGAGAGAAGACGTATGTAGTGTCATTTGCAAATAGTGTTGGTTTGAGTAGTTGCGATGCATTTGGTAGGTCATTTATGTATATAAGAAAGAGAAGAGGGCCAAGGACACTTCCCTGTGGGACACCAACTGTAATTGGCTATGCAGAAGAGTTTGCTCCATTTGTGTACACATATTGGTTTCTGTTGCTGAGGTACGACTTTAGGTAGTTGAGGGAGTGCCCTCTTATACCATAGTGCGACAATTTTATGTGGAGAAAGTTATGGTCAACTGTATCAAAAGCTTTACGTAAGTATGATGATGATGAATCAGACACATGTGCAACATCTGGGCATCTTAACATTTGTAGATGTTTTGCCATCCATTGGCTTTATCAATACAAATTCAAGGATGTAATGGGGAGACTATAGAACTATCTACAAAAGATGATGTAATCAGTCCCTCAGCCTTGGAAGTGAAGAGCACCATGATCTTGAAAATCTGAAGCACAGCTATGAAGCTTGATGTTTATATACCGGCATCAGGTGAGGGATGCTCAGCAGATAAAGACATTGTCACTGGCAGGCCGGATTCCCCAGTGGAAAGTAAATCATACCCAGAGCATGAGCCAATGGTATACAGTACACTGTAGTTCAATTGATATTCGATTGTTCAAATTAATGTTTATGGTGCAATTTTAAAGCCAGATAAAGCCATCTGGTTACACTTAACATGGAGTTAGGGAATGGATTTTGGGAGAGTGGAGGACAATGATCTGTGATATACCTGTGACCAGTTTCATGAGTTCAATCTTTGTAGCCCAGCCTGAATTTCATATTGACTGTCTGATCAACCAGGCTGTTGCTGACATGACCTGCCAGCCTACTTATCTATCACAATCTGGCTGATGTGGCACTTGTTGCAAGAAATAGTCCAGTTTTCTATTTAAAACTTGTACCCTCCTTCTAGCACTATTTTGTAAATTTGCTGGTAGTATGTTGAGGTCTTGGATCTTGGATGTTGACAGTGTTCTCTAATTGTGCCTACAGCAACCTGACTTTTATTGGATTTATTCTACACTTCCTTTTGTATCTCTCACTTCAGTAACTGAAGTTATTATGGTTATGTGCAGAACTGGAACCTGACCCTCAAATATTTTCCATGAGTATAGTATCAGATATCCTTCCACTGTCCATTCAAAATGTAGGAGCACAAGTGATTTAAATTGTACTGTACCAAGATTTTTCAATGTGCATTCTCTAGAGATTAGCTGTATTGTTCTATTCCACTGTCAGAATCTTTCTACTGTAATTCTGATGCTGTATACGAAAGGTGTTATGTAAGTTAGGTTTAAGCTTGCCCGAAACGTTCTACACAACTATGGGGCTTTCCGTGTGAGTGATGAAATGTCATCCAATTTTTCACAAACAATGTAGCATGTGGAAATAAATACTGATTGACTGATTTATTTATTGACATTGGAGTGTGAGCAAAGTTTACTTCAGGCATACAATCAGCATTTGTGTTACAAGCCCAGTAGGTAAATACTGCCCTATATGAAGCTTCCTGTGATTTGCTGTAATTAAAGTAAATAAGGAGTTTTTATGAATAAAACTTTAGTGTGGGAAGCAGCAACCTGATAACACAATATCTTGAATGTTAAGCATGTGGTGGACTTTACAGTGGTTCAAAGGAAAGGGGGTGTATTAGTTTAAGTGAAGTTACATACTGGATCATCCAAGGCCTCCCATCACAGAAATATACAGTACTAGTCCATGTGTATATAAATAGTGCTTGCACAATATTACATGTAAACATAACTTATTACATGTAAATAACTTACCTTGATAATTGTAATTCCTATAATGAAGTCCTCTTGAATGACAGATCTGTTTACAGCATCAATGGATATGATTTCAGCTCCACCTGTAAAAGAATAAATTAAAATACAGTATAAACCAGTAGGGCACTGTTACTGTAGTGGTATTACCTGCATCTCTTAATATAATGTCTAAGACAATTCTCACACACTCTGGTTAACACTGCACATTCAAGATTTATATTAGGATCAACGTCATTTCAAAATTTGCCCCCAAGAGGTACACACCAGTGCCCAACCTAATACAGAATACCAGCACAAGATCAAGAATTACATAGCACAAAGCAACTTCATATCCAAATTTTAAGCTTCACTATAGGACCTGTCATCTCACTCACTACTTGACCTGTCCTTCCACTACTTGACCTGTCCTCCCATTTGTTCACCTGACACACCCTACTCCCTGCACGGTGAGAGGTGCAACCTTCCCTATAAATTCATGTTCTCCTTTTACTCAAGAAATCGTAATGACACGGTTGCAAACAAACCATACCCCCGGCCGGGATTGAACCCGTGGTCATAGAGTCTCAAAACTCCAGCCTGTCGCGTTAGCCACTAGACCAGCTAGACACAGTAAGATTCATCCAACTAGGTATATTTCTACACCATAGGAAGGTTAGCACAGGCACCACTGTGACCACAAATGCAAATTTTTACAGACGAATCTCCAGCTAGCGTGGCCGTGACAAACTCTAGCTAGAGTTCGTACAGTGCTAGTCACGGTATTATGCCAGGTGAGCGCCCCAGCATAATGCCGTGACGAAAATCAAAGGCCTACCATACAGGGGATTCTTTTCGTCAGTGCGTTATGCCGGGTAGCAGCCGTTAGCATGATGTCACAGCCTGCCACCACACTCCAGTGACTCCTCAGTGCTCAAGTGGCTGCTGTGGTGAGAGGAAGTGTTGCACTTTTGTCTCTCATCTGCCCCCTCTTTTGTCAGGTGTTCCCTTTGGTTTTAGGGCTATACATGTTTGATTATGGGTAAAAGGAAGTCTTTAACACCTGAAACTATAGTTCAAATCATAGGGCTTCACAAAACTGGGCAACAGATGAACGAAAGAGTGGAGAATGTTGGTGTGTGTGAGCATTCAGTGAGGAACTGGGTGCAGCGTTTCAAGGCTGGTGGTGGTGTCTAGTTACCTTCTGCCAAACCTTGGCCTGGCCCCTCGAAGAAGACATCTGTTTGTGCCTTAACTGTGTTAAAGAAGTAGTCAAAGAGTACACCTAAGATAACTTCTAAAGAACTGAAAGAAAAGAACCCACATCTTCTCTCAGAGGTGTCTGTCAGAACTGGTAACAGACGTGTGTCAGAACTGGACTACAGTAGTTACTGCCAGGTTAAGAAACCAATCCTCTCCAAGCCACAGAAGCAACAGACTGGATTATACAAAGAAACATCTTCACTGGAATCCTCAACAGTGGTCTTAAGTGATGAAGTAACCTTCACTGTCAGCTGTAACCATGGGGGACATGTGTATCGGCCCAGAGGTAGTGACCCGCTAGACCCATGCTACACCTGTGAGACCACCAAACACCCAGACTTGCTCATGGTTTGGGGGTCTTTCTGTGCTCAGAGTGTTGGTGAACTCATTGTGCTTCCCAAAAACCAGTATATGAACCAGTATAATTACCTGGAGTTATTGTGTGACAATTTACCTGAGGCGTTTGACAAGTGTGGGGCTATGGCTTTTATGCAGGACGGTGCACCGTGTCATGCCGCCAAATCTGTAGTTCAGTGGCTTAAGGACTGTGAAGTGAGGTTCTTTAATGACTGGCCAGGCAATTCCCCAGACCTAAACTCTACTGAGAACCTCTGGCCAATAGTGAAACGAAGTTTACTGGGCAAGGATATCAGTTCCATCCCGCGGCTGGAGGCTGCTCTACATGAGGCATGGAATAATATAGTGTACCTCCCCAAACTCTTTTTATACAGCCGAGGGACGTGATTAAGTGTAAAGGATGCAGCACCAAGTATTAAAACCTCAGTAAGTGTGCAAATATACATATGGACCGAAACGTCATCGTAAGCTCCTCTCTTCTATGTGCGGGTTATTTGTGTATCGTTCCAGTCACGGTATTGTGCCTTTTTTTGTTATTTTTCATGGTATGTGTTTGTGTTTTGGTATGTGTGTGGGGGAGGGGCAGCATAATACCATGACTAGCACTGTAGATTAACAGTAAAAAAAAGAAAGGCTGTATAAAATGTTTAGGCAGTTGATGGTATAAGAGATGGAAAACTACTTAGAAGTTCATTTATAACTAGTAAAAAACTGATAATACCTGAAGAGGCTGACTAAACACATGATGAAATGCTCTACAATGAGATGGGTTTGCAACACAGTAAAGGCATCAGATGTCCATGTGACCTCACATATGAGACACACCATGTCCCTACATGCCTGACGTCATAACTAACTTGTGAAAAATTATCCCAGCTTCTGGTAAGCAAATACAGTACTTCAATTGGTTGATATTGTTAACTACAGCATACTGTATGATCAAAAACTTGCTAGATGTAACATAAGAGGCTCAGATTGAAGATTTTCTTCCAGGATGATCTATAAAGCAACCCTGAGGTACCTTGTTTCTAGTTAAGCCAACAGTGGCAAAAAATTAGGCAGGATATAGATTATTTTTTAATTCTTCCTCCATGAGCCATGTGTGTGTCATAAGAGGCAACTAAAATGCTGGGAGCAAGGGGCTAGTAACCCCTTCTCCTGTACTCACCTATTTGTGGTTGCAGGGGTCGAGTCTAGCTCCTGGCCCTCATCTCTTCACTGATCACTACTAGACCCTTTCTCTCCCTGCTCCATGAGTTTTATCAAATCTCGTCTTAACGCTATGTATGATTCCTGCCTCCACTACATCACTTTCCAGACTGTTCCACTTCTTGACAACTCTATGACTGAAGAAATACTTCCTAACATCCCTTTGACTCATCTGAGTCTTCAGCTTCCAATTGTGACCACTTGTTTCTGTGTTCCATCTCTGGAAGAACCTGTCTGATATCCCTTAACCTTAGCTCCCTTAGCTCTGGGACTAGTCTTGTTGCAAACCCTTGCACTTTCTCTAATTTCTTGATGTACTTGAACAGGTGTGGGTTCCAAACTGGTGCTGCATACTCCAATATGGGCCTGATGTACACGGTGTACAGAGTCTCGAACGATTCCTTATTGAGGTATCAGAATGCTATTCTTAGGTTTGCCAGGTGCCCATACACTGCAGTAGTTATCTGGTTGATGTGTGCCTCAGGAGATATGCTCGGTATTATACTCACCCCAAGATCCTTTTCCTTGAGTGAGGTTTGCAGTCTTTGGCCACCTAGCCTATACTGTACTCTGCCTGCTGTCTTTTTTGCCCTTTCCCAATCTTCATGACTTTGTATTTGGTGGGGTTAAATTCAAGGAGCCACTTCCTGGACCAGGCTTGCAGCCTGTCCAGGTCTCTCTGTAGTCCTGTCTGATCCTCATCCAATTTATTTCTCCTCATTAACTTCATATCATCTGCAAACAGGGTCACTTCTGAGTCTATCCCTTCCATCATGTCATTCACATATACCAAAAACAGCACTGGTCATAGGACTGGTCCTTGTGGAGCCCCACCCATCACAGTCACCCACTCTGACACCTCATCATGTACCATGACTTCTTGTTGCCTCCCTGTCAGGTATTCTTTGATCCATTGCAGTGTCTTTCCTGTTATGCATGCCTGATCCTCTAGCTTTTGCACTAATCTCTTGTGAGGAACTGTGCCGAAAGCCTTCTTGCAGTCCAAGAAAATGCAATCTACCCACTCCTCTCTCTTTTGTCTTACTTTTGTTACCCTGTCATAAAGCTCCAGTAAGTTTGTGACACAAGATTTCTCTTCCCTGAAACTGTGCTGGGTGTCGTGTATATGCTTAATCCTTTCTAGGTGCTCCACCACTCCCTGATAATCTTCTCCATGACTTTGCATACTACACATGTCAGTGACACTGATTTGTAGTTTAATGCCTTATGTCTATCACCTTTCTTAAAAATTGGGACTACCTTTGCCATCTTCCACACCTCAGGTAGTTGCCCAGTTTCAATGGATATGTTAAAAAATTGTTGTTAGTGGCACACACGAATTCTCTGCTCCCTCTCCAAGGACCCATGGAGAGATGTTGTCAGCTCCCACCGTCTTTGAGGTATTTAGTTTACTTAGCAGCATTTTCACCTCCTCCTCGGTTGTGTGTATTTCGTCCAGCACTTGTTAGTGTATCCCTTTCTGGTGTACCCCACTATTCCAACTTTCTGGAGTCCTTCCTGTCTCCAGTGTAAATACTTCTTTAAATTTCATCTTGAGCTCCTCACGTAATTCTCAGTTGTTTCTTGTGAATCCCCGTCCTTCTTTCTCAGCCTGATTACCTGGTCCTTGACTGTTGTCGTAGATGTTCTCCCTCCGGCTGGCACTTCATCCTCCAAGGTTGACGATCTTTGCTCATGCCAGGCTGTTGAAAAGAGATATGGGACCGCTCGGACAAGGAGCAGTTAGTTTCAAAGGTATCAGCCAACCTGGCTGCCTCCAATGCAGTGGAGTCACGATCCTGCAGAAAGACTCTAACCTCTGGTCCCACAGACTCCAGCAGGATGTCAACCAGAATAAGCTGCACGAGATCATCGAAGGTAGCAACACCACTTGCTTTATACCAACTGGTAAAAGCTTTGGTCTGCTGTCTCACAAAATCAACCAGATATTGACCAAGCTGTCGCCTGTCTAATTTAAACAACTTTCTGTACTTAGCTGGGATACATGTATATACTCCCAAAACTGTGGTCTTCACTACTTTAAATCGGAAAAATCAGTGTCATTGAACACTGACGTAATTCCTGTGCCTTACCAAACAATGCTGTGTGAACCAACAACGCCCAATGCTGTTCCAGCCACCTCAAGGCTCGAGCCTGATTTTCGAAAGCTTCGGAAAATTGTTCTGGTTCGGTCTCATTGAAGTGGGGAACAAGCTGTACTGCTTTCTGTAAACTAAAGTCATTTACAAGTTGCAAAAACTGCCTTCTTTCTTTTTCC